TCATTGCAAAGCCCCCATTTTCGCACAGCTGATTGGCGGTTCCAAAATGGCGGCCGGTGTTTTACCTCGCTTTAGAGGCACCCAAAATGGCCACCGCTATGGAGGAATTTCACTTAAGGTTAGTTTCTAAGCCCATAGGAACATATTAAACACGTTTTAATACGTTCCTATGGGCTTTTTAAAATCGCTTAGCGATTAAATCACTTAGTGACCTTTTTCCTGGAATGGATTAACGCCGCTAAGTGAGGCACCATTGTATCCCATACTGAAAGGGCGATAAAGCAATCAAACAAATATGACTTTACTCACGGTTATCATACAAAATAGAGATTAAGTACAGGACAATCCCCAAACCTTTTAGAATTGCTCCAATATTACTTTCACATTAAAGTATGCACACAAACAAAAGTTTGCTAGGGAGAAACAACAATTTATTTATTTATTTATTAGTTATTATTCAGTTTCTACCCCACCCCTCTAGACAGACTCTACTCGGGGCGGCTTACAAGCAGTTATAAAACATCATAAAAATAGTCATCAAAACAATCACATAATTAAATCAACAAATTTAAAAGTTCAAGATGGGAAAAAGGAAAACTAAAGAGAAAAAAATCAAGTGTTGGCTGGAGGGAAGGCCTGCCTATAGAGCCAAGTATTTAACTGACAATTTACCTTCAGGCTCGTATTTGATTTTCAATTCATCAACTAGCACACGCAAATTTATGGTCTCGCTCTGAGAAGCCTCAAGCTGTCTTTCACTTGCAAAAAGTTTCCGCTCCATTTCCAAGACTCGCTGACTTTCAAACAAAGCCTTCATCCGCTGTAAAGACAACTCACTCTTCAAATTTTCTATTTCTTTACTGCCAAACAAGGTTAAAAAAAAGTTTAAGTATAAAAGACATATAGCTGCAAAAACATTAATTCCTTAGGTCTCTTATCACTTCAGGTGTGAACTCTCTAAATTTCATAGTTCAGTTTTAGTACTTGTGAATGAATCCATTTTTCCTACCACCACATATATACAATCTTTAGATAAGCTAGTACAGTGGACCCTTGACTTACAGACGGCTTGACTTACAGACCTTTTGAGTTACAGACTTCTCTGGCCGCAAAATTTAGGTTTGACTTGCAGACTGAGATTTGACTTACAGACCAGAAAAAAACCAAAATAGAACAAAAACAGCCTGTTACGGGATTAATCGGTTTTCAATGCACTGTAGGTCAATGGAGACTTGACTTACAGACTTTTTGACTTGAGAACTGCCTTCCAATACGGATTAAGTTCTCAAGTCAAGACCCCACTGTAAAACTGTTAATATAAGAGTCTCCAAACTACAGCCCGCGGGCCACATCTGGCCTGCCTTGCTGTTTTATCCAGCCCGGTCCCTTCAGCCCATTCATGCATCTTCAAGTGTGTGTTCGTTCAAAAATGTTGAAAATATCCGCTGTGGCACTCACGGCCAAAAGTTTGGAGACCCATGGTTTAATAGATGCCAGAAAGGGGACTCGCAGCTCAGTCTAGTATTCACCAAACATAATATATTGTATACAACATATACAAAATGTTTATTTAGAAAAGGAAGGCATTTTTACACAATGATAGTCTACCAAACATGGAACACATATAGGTCATAGGGAACAGTGGGAATGAACAACTCAAATCAGTCTAGATCTTATGTTCAGTAGAGATACCATGGATCCTTGAGCCCGATTCAGAAATGAACATCAACAGCTCATAAAGGAGACTAAAAAGAAGAGAGAATCTTGCAAGGATCCAGCACCATGATGTACATACTATTTATCAAAAATGTTAGAAGATATTCCAAATGTAATCCTGTGTTGACAGGAATCCTACATGCATTTGTGGATGACAGGTATAGGGAGACTATTAAAGCAGCTATTTCTGTTTTTCAAACTGCCTTGTTTCTGCTGATCTTCTTTTCATTTTTACTTTTCTTTGACGACAGCATGGGTTATAATTAGATTACACAGGGGCAAGTAAGTGCTGGTGTTTCAGAACCATGGAATCACCCTGCATGTTAATTGGTGGTGCACCTGAACATTATGTCTCACAGTAACTAAAAAATGTTATGCAGACAAACAATTTCCTTTTTATATGTCAAATAAGGAGCACTTGCTTCAGCATGGGCTATGACCTGCCCATGATAAAGCAGAAGAAACTTGTCAACCCTAACAAGACTGTATTCAGACTTGAACTAGGCAAATATATTAGTAAATATGCTTCAGATAAGACTGAAAATTTGCATACTACAATCTGAAGTCACAAAACTTACTCTGAATTCTCAAGTTTCATCTGAAGTAAATCTGTATAATAGCCATCCTCAAATTCTACACATTCTGAAGTGTTAGAAACTTTCAGTTCCCTTGAATTTTCAGATGCTGTCTGGGGAGGCAATTAAAACAGAAAAACCAAAGCCATGTACATTTGATCATTGCAGTATTTTGGGCCTAAATATTAATGGCAAAAAGAAACAGATAATTAGAATTATGACAGGAAAAACAGGTGGTTAGTAGCACAATATTACAGAAGATTGACTGCCATAAAAGGGAGCAATGCCCTAGATGCTATGAAACACAAACATCCAGTGAGCTGGTTGCAATTGTCACTATGGAATTAAGCTAGAAAAGAAGATATATCCATTCATTTTTCTAGAATCACTAAACCAAGTTCTCATATCCACTTGGCCTGCATATTGCCTAAGCCCCTGAAAGTAAGTAGCAAAGGCTATGTAACTCTCACCAAATACAGGGAATGTTCTAAAACAGCTACCCTCATCAAACATGCTTTCCTCTGCCCAGAACTTCCCAAAGTTAAGGCTGACAATACAGATCCAGAGTGAGCGCTTTAAGCAGGACTACCCAAAAATGCAAGTGGAATATCATATCTAATGTTGCCTAGAATCTTTTCTTAGAACTAATCACAACCTATTGAAACACATCAGAAATGACATACACTTGAATCAAGGATAGAGACGCATTCCCTGCACTATTCTCTTTGATACAAATCCTGAGAGATGCAATACTACATTTCCATGGGCAAGCCAGTTTATTTAGATTACACAGTTCATGCTTACTGTGTAATGTTTTCAAATCCAATTATATGTCATTCCTTACATCATTTGCCAATAAGTTTGGCGGGGGGAAAAAGAAGTGTCTATACACATACCGTAGACTTTTCTAGTTGCTTCACTTTCATTAGAAGTTCTTCTATTTCTCCATTCTTTTGCTGAAGCATGCTTTGCAAACGTTCCAGCTGATCATGTTCTCCATGTGAACCTTTCATCCGTAACAGTGTGGCCATCTGTAGCTACAAGCCATATTAGATGTTGAGCCATCATTTTTACAAAAGCTCCACTACAGCAGGGGTCCCCAATCTTACCCCGCAGACCAGCTGGCACTAATGCGCACACACACATCCTTGTGTGCATGTGCAAACAGTGGTGCAGCGTTCACACGGGTGCGCTGGAGCACACGCACATTCGCAAATCAGCTGAGCGGGGAGTCTGTCTCCGTGACCTGATCCGGCTCAGGCCACAGAGCGGCACCAGGCCACAGACTGGGGGTTGGGGACCTCTGCACTACAGTATACATTCAACCAAGCCTTTGAAATTAAATAGGGTCCAGAGAACAGTGAAACTAGTTCTGTGAGTCAAAGGGATTTCCAAACTTGAAGTGTGCCACTTTGTAAAATGCTTTGAAAACCAATGTTTTGTTTCAAAAGCATTTTGTGATATAACACAGAGTTCAGCATTTACAATAATCAAAACTGATGATTTACATTGATCAAAGATTCATATCATGGAATGCCTCCAATTTTTTTGACCAGTCTCCTCCATCCTGCCAAGCCCTGCCTCCTTCCATGTCTTGCAAATGGTCTACTAGTAGCTGCTGATAAATTTTGCAGTGGACTATCCTTCACAGCCCTCAGCTGCATACCAAGCATAGTGATATGGACTTTTATGCTAGCGAACTGAAGCACAGCATCAGCAAAATCCAAGATAAGGACCAAGAATTATACTGCCTGTCAGCAGCATGTGCCCCCACCCCGTTCTACAGCCCCTAATTCCTACAGGTGATGCAGGGGTGGAGGGAGGAGACCAAAAATATAATAAAAAGAAATAAGCTGACTATTATCTATTATGGTATGAACAGCAATTCTTTGTTACAACTGCTTCAATGGCCCATTTCTGGAACAATTCAAAAGCCTGATGATGACCTGTAAAGCCCTGTCTGGCATGGACAAGATATTTCACAGGAGATTATCTCCTCATACAAGCCTGCCTGGGTCTTAAGACCTTTCTTTTTTCCTGTGACCTTCACAGACATTATTGATGAGGGCACAAGAGAGCGCCTTCTAGGCAGCTACTACCAAACCCAAGAGAATTCCCTTCTAAGGTAGCCTATACAGTGGTGCCTCGCATAGCGATGTTAATTCGTTCCAAAAAAACATCGCTATGTGAAACCATCGCTATGCGAAACACCATTTCCCATAGGAATGCATTGGAAACTGGTTAATCCGTTCCAATTGGAACGGATTGCCGTTGTTAAGCGAAAAAACCCATAGGAAACATCGCTAAGCGAAACAATGTTTCCTCCATTGGAATGTATTGAAGCTGACTCAATACATTTCAATGGCTTTGCGAAATCAATTTTTGCAAAATTAAGTGTGTCATAAAAGGGTCAAAAATGGTTTTAAATGCTTGGATTAGCTTCTGCACCCTCTAAAACGGATGCAAAAGTTAATTTGGCTTTGATCTGACTTTTCATTAATTTATGGTGAATTTTTTCCCCCCAACTTTTGACAGCTGTCAAAATCTGACAGCTCCATTATTTCCTATGGGGGAAGAAAAAATTCACAAAAAATTAATGAAGACTCAGCAACTGTTCTAAATGCTTGGGTTCATTAGAGGACCCCCTAAGTCGTGTGCAAACCTGATTTGGCTTTGATCTGAACTTTCGTTAATTTATGGTGAATTGTTTTCTCCCCCATAGGAAAGCATGGAGCTGTCAGACCCCCTAAGTCGTGTGCAAACCTGATTTG